ATCTACAGCACAGCATGGGGTGTAAAGAAAGCAGCTAGGACTGAATTCATTAAGTGTAGAAAGGAAAATTTTTAGATTTTTTTTTTTTAAATATTATTCACAGCTCCTTAGTGAGTTCCTAAGAGAAAAAGCACTTTGAGGTATTATATTTCTTCATCTTTATCTCCTCCTCCTTCTCCTTTTATGTACATAGCAGGGTTTGGCTCTGAGGTACAATGTCAAATGAATTTTAGTGCTTTGTAACCAAAGACAGGAGAAGGAAGCTTTTTCCTCAGCCTTCTGCTATACTTTAAACCATCTCCAACTGCCCCATTTCTTTCTAAGACTTACTAATCGGAAAAAAGAAGCATTTCTGTATTTGAAGTACACTTAAAATGGGATGTTTCAATAGCACAAAGGCACACCTCACCTGGAGGCTGACTTCAAAATGTCCAGAGCCTCCTGTGAGTGCATCAGGCTCAATGGCCATGTGGAGACATCCAGTGTGGTTTGCATTATAGATTTGACAGTTGTTTTACTCCAATTCCTTGAAACCACTTTTAATGAAGGTTTTTTTGGCAGTTCATTAAGCATTACTGCCACAGAATGATTGCTAGTTATTTGTTGGGTGCAGTAGAAATTTCTTTACCTAAAGATCAGGGGTGGGATCATCGCTGTCCCCTGCATTCAGCTCGAAGGAGGGATTGGTTTTAATGGTAACAGCTGGGGTTGTTGGATCCCATCTCCTTCCCATTTCCTTCAGGAGAGAAGCATCCAATGAAAAAAGTTCCTTTTTGAGGGAAAAACCCCCATCCTGAATTAATTTATTTGATATCACTGTAATTTTAAACAAGCTCAGAAATATGATCACCTCTGACCTGGTGCTTCTTCCTCTGGCAATTTCCCCTGGTCCATGGGTCATGAGGCAGTGACATTTATATCCAGAGCTGGGACATCCAAGGCTCATCCCTAACACTTGTCCAGAGAAGGAAGCACCCAAGCCAAGATCCTACTCCTCTGTTATGTGACACTGATTTTTTTTCCTACATCTTCTAGACTTACCTTCTACACAGAAATCCACACCTCCTTGGGGTGAGGATTTTATGAAAGCAAGAGAAACCCACTTTCCTTGAGCCTGGAAACACAGAAGAGTGGAAGCCACATTAGTAAGGATTTAAAAACAGTCTTTTCAGAGATTTACTTAAAATTCTGAGAGATTTGTACTCAATACTTTTTTATTTTTTGGTCACATTTAAACTGTGACAGCTATGTCAAAGCCAACATGAAGAACTCAGTGCAGATGGCCTTCACATCTGTGAGTGGAGTGGAAAAATATCCACCAAAGGCAGACATTTAATTAGGGCAAATGGTGGGATTATTATTTTGCTGCTCTGCAGACTCCCAGTACAATGACTTTGGCACTGACTGTGATCATTGTGAGGAGAGAGATCTAAAGGAATTGTGGGGAATGTGTCTGAGCTCGAAATAACCCAAAATTAAAATTAAAGTAAGGAAAAACTGACAGCCTTCTCTGTGGAGTTTTTTATCACAAAATTTTAAAGTGTCAAAGAAATGAAGACAAAATAGGTGTATAATTTCAAAATGTACTTCACATTGTTCACATATTGTTCTCCTTTAATAAGATGTGTATAATATTCAATTCCAGGCACAGAGGCAGTCTATCAGCATAACAGTAAAAGAAAAAAAAAAATCCCAACCTCTGAGGGAAATCTTTATAAAAAATTATTTAAAATAGACAAATATGCTATAAGTAACAGACTAATATAGAAATCACCTGAAATAATGATTTAGTTTGCTACTCCTATTGAGTGGACCAAACCCATGTTATGAGTAGAATATTGGTACTGGAATCATGCTGGCCAAAAACAGGCAGGTGTTATATATAACAGTATAAAGAGGCAATTCCCATTTACAGCCTAGATGGGAAAGAAAAAAATTAAAAATTCACTGGCAAATCCAGGAGAAGAACTCAAATTTCACAAATTTCAGAGAAAAACACACATTGCCCAGACACTATAAATCTTTGTTGTGTGTTTACCTTGTTAGAGCTTCTCATAAAAATTCAGCTCACAAAGACAGTTATTCCCTTCCTTTTAGCTGTCCCTTTATGTTTATCCCTTCATTAAGTGGTATGCACTTAATTCCATTATTTTCTGTGTTTTCTAAAAAAAACACTCTGATAATCTTTATATCCATTTAAGCTTTTGTGGGGAAGGAATGCACTTTGTCAATGCAGCAACCTCATGGGCAGCAGCCTTTGAAAGGTATTTATTAGCAACCTCTTTCTCTGGCTTCATCCTTCATTTGCTTCTTACTGCATGAAAAGCTGCATTATATCGAGCATTTCCTCAGTGTAAAGTCTCACATGCCAAGGATAATTATAACACACCCATTAATGCAATCTACTCCTCAGCATATCTTTTTCTTTTCTTCCCTCTTCTCTTTGATTTTCCTCTTTGCTGCTGTTTGACCTCCCACAAAGGCTTTACCCAGGGCAGCCTGGATGTCAAATGAAGATAATTTAAATACAGTGAAATCAAAACCCTGCTTTTAAGAGTTGATTGTGGGGGCAGAAGAGGGGGGGAAAGAAAGTTTACCTGCTTAAGTTAATTGAGTCACTGAGCTGTGCAAATGAGTGCAGTGATGTAAAATGCTGGCTGGACAGCAGACAGATAAAACTACTGCTCAATCACTCAGTGCCTCAGATTAGATCTTAAACCAGTTTGAAAACAGGACTTTGGCCATTTTCTCACTGAGTTTCCCACGGGCAAAATTTCCTATTAAAGCTTTAAAAATAAAATGAGGGGAAGGCAAGGAAGGTGTGTGTTTTTGGGTTAGATGACAAAGAGAAAGAAGTGGGGGAGAAGAAAGCTGTGAACACATAAATGGGGCAGGAGCAGCAAACAGTGCTGCATTGCAGGCAATCTGGGAACCTCTTGCTTTCTGATTTCTGGCCTGGTGCAGACTGATTATATTCAGTCATTCAAACTCCTTCACTTCTGTATCAGGTGGATCCAGTGCAGACAACTTTAACCCACAGTCATTCACAACAATTATTTTCTGTAGATCACACATACAGAATTTTTCTTTTTATAGTGATGCATCCT